AGTACTTGCTTTTGCAAACAACGTGAATGGCCAATTGCTTTTACTCGAGATCTAGGATGTCCATTTGATCTTTGCAAGATGCAGCAGATAGCTGCATAGTTTCTGCATTATGCTAATTTCCGTAAGCTGCTTATCGGGTAATTTAGCATGATATGGCACTTTCCGTAAGCTGCGGATGTCCGCAACTTTCTGCACGATATGGCGCTTTCCGTAAGCTGCGGATGTCCGCATCTTTTCGCATGATATGGCGCTTTCCGTAAGCTGCCGATGTTCGCATCTTTCCGCATGATGCGGCTTTCCGTAGTCCAATAATTGCGTATGTACGGATCCGTATATGCGGAACGTTTCAGTAGGGATACGGGGCATATAACCAGCCAATCTACTTGGCTGAGCAACAGGCATTTTTTAATTGCTGCAGCGATTCTTCCCAAAGATCTGACCACGTAATGTGAAATGTGGAAAAACCTACTTCTAGAAACTCCAAAAACCTTACTTTCTCTGTCCAATGCCATCTGGTTTTCTGGTGTCGTCCGTCCTTCTTGGAAAGAGGCCGTCGTCATTCCCATATCAAAACAGGGCAAGGATTCGTCCGGCGTTACAATCTACAAGCCCAGCGCATTAACCAGTTGTCTTTGTTAACTTTTTGAAAAGGTGACAAATCGCCGACTTATACACTTCCTCAAACCAGTCTACTTGACCCGTACCAGTGTGGTTTTCGAGAAGGTAGTTCCTTTATTGACCACATATATTTATTGAGGCACAGATCCGAGGCTCTTTCATGCACAAAAAATTATTTCTCTCTGCGTTCCTAGAAATCCAGAGGCTTATGACACAACTTGGCGCTTTGGTATACTTCGATACCTCTCAGATTTAGGTGTACGGGGTAGAATGCTGAGCACAATTGAAAGTTATCTCTCCAATCGACCGTTCCGTGTTCGGGTAAGTACAGTCGTGTCCCCAACATTTGTTCAAGAGACAGGGGTGCCCCAGGATGGTGTACTGAGCTGTACTCTTTTTATTATCAAAGTGAATTCGTTGTGCTTTTCTATTCCTACCACTATGTTTTACTACACTTATGTAGATGATACCCAGTTTGGCTTCAAGTCTTGTATGCTGTAGGCCCGTGTGCTGAGATCGGAATGAGAATCCCAGGTGGTTGAAATTTCTGGAGACCTCCACTATGGCGTCTCTAATATTCAAATGGTGGTTTTGGGGCGTGAAAACCGAAATATCAATCAGAACAATTTTTAAGGCTTGTAACCCAGCATTGTGTGAGCGACAGGTGTAGCTGAGTTTGAATAGGATTTTAAAATGGGCAGATGAGAACGGGTTCCGACTGAATCCACCAAAAAACGCATGCATAATATTCTCTGCAAGGAGAGATCCATTTATTCCGAACCTGACATTGAACTGCATGGCCAGCATCTTTCTATTAACATTTAACATAGATTTTTAGGTCTAATGTTCGACACCAAGCTAACCTTTATGCCGCATATAAAGTATTTAAAAAAGTGCTTGAAAACTATGAAAATTATAGAAGTCTCATCACGCTCTACCTGGGGTAGTGACAAAAACTGCTTTATCAATTTGTACTGAAGCCTCATACGAACACCTTAGGGGGCCACAACCTAATATTGTGCGACACCATTGGCGTTAAAGATGCTCGACCTTGTCCATCACTTAGGAATTCGTCTTTTCACGGGTGTTTTTCGCACTTGCTCCGTGGAAAGCTTGTATGTTGACCCGAACGAGTGGTCGCTCTATATACAAAGATCCTGCGAGTCTGTTGTCAACTGTCACAAAGTGATTGTCAACAAAAAACACCCTATGCACTCCACAATCAATGATTCGTTCAGCTCTGTTCTGTTTAACAACCACCCTGTCATCAGACAGCCCTACGCACTTCGTGTAAAGAGTCCAGCCGAAGAGACAGGCGTGCCGCTTCTTGAGGATGGTTTGGCAGCTCCTGCTGCATATGTCTCACCTTGGCAGTGGTAGCTGATGGACTATGATATATCTTTCATACAAGTTACCAAGCACGCGCCCATGCACATATTCATATACAGTTCCTAGATCTGCACTAGAAATACTCATGCCCAGACTTCTATACTGATGCCTCGAAAACTCCCCTTGCTGTCTCCTATGCAGCATTTGGTCCATCTTTTTAGAAGCTGGTATTCTGCATCCGAACACCAGCATGGCATACTGGTGGCTGGTAAACACATAAAACAACTAAAATGACAAAGTTCCGTAACCTACACACATTTCCTCAGAGGGGTGAAAGCTTTTAAAACACTCAAAGGGCAAACAAACCCCATGCCTATCTCCCTTTACTCCGTCTTTTGCACAGTGTACGCACTCAATACACAATACACATGTAGTCTGCTGGGTGCCAGGACACCTAAAGCTACAAGGAAATGTTTTGGCGGACCACTTAGCTGCAACCACCAATAAAACAGCTGCCAGCTGATCAATAGCGATTGCTGCACTTGACTTGACATATTTTTAAAACAAAAGGTCAGGGTCTATTGGCAGAGCACGTGGAACAGACTCACACATAATAAACTTCATGTTATCAAGCCGCTACTTGGTAATTAGCCTCCATTATCAAAATCACTATGCACAGAAGTAACACTTACTAGACTAAGGGCAGGGCATATAATCACTACACATTCATACCTGTTGTCTGGTGGCGATCCGCCATTGTGGCGAAGCATTAACAGTGCTACACACTTTATTCCAGTGTAAATAACTAGACACGCTAAGAAAACAACATTTTCCATTGCCCTACTGACAACAGTTTCTACTTCACCCTGCAATTTCTGTCGGTGGGGAACCACTTTTTACACATTGTTCACTGTTAGAATTTTTAAGAGACATGGGTACTTTTTATGTCCTATACGTGGGCCTACCATAGCACGACCTCTGAATTGACGTCGCTACGGCGGTGGCTACATCTCCGTCTAGCTTTTATTACGATCTTTCGCCATCTGTTCTCCCTACACTTGTTACACGTCACTGTCACATTTTATTACTTTTACGTTTTTACCCGTGTTAGCACGAGGAATTTTAAGGCCCTTATACAGCAACCTATCATACCCATTATTCGCATATCTTGCCCCACGACCTGGCGCTCTTAGGCCGTCAAATGACCCTTGCGCCATAAAACACCACTAATCGTCAACTACCTGCATATGAGTCGAAGGGTGGTCAGGAAGAGCAAATACGCACAACACTGAGATCCACCACGCGTATTGTCATTCTGCAGTGTAAGAAGCGCATCATATGTACGGTTGAAAAATCGCACTTTTTTACTTTTATGCAGGGGCTATGTATTCCTAGCTGGCATCGTTTCTACTAATATTGATGCTTAATCCTACATGTTTCGTTGCCTCGTTTCAAATGTTAGCCTGCTTACCAAGTGATATTCCTTGTTGTGCTTTCCACTAACATTTTCTTTTATTTTACAGTGGCACATTACTCAGGCAATTTATGTTTGAGCAAATAACTTGGTGTGTATGAGGAAGAACGCAAACACACTTTCAACCCGACGCTCATGCATCCAACTACTATGCTGGGATACAAAACTAGGCCATTGTTATATAATATATCTTTTGAAGCACTTACGGAACTTTGGCAGTTCGCTCGATGGCATCCAAGAACGTAACATATGCAAAGTATGTTGGGCGTGGCAACACAACTCATCGGGTTACTCGTATTCAAGAGAAATTTTGTTCATAACAAGCATGCAGTACAATGTTGAAGGACACCCTCGAAGGAAACCTGGAACCATACAGCTAACCGAGGCCGAGAGGCTGCAAACAAGCAACAACACGAGTGCACACATATGTAATACAAAAAAATCGTTTTTCTTGGTTCTTCGGTGCAACACATTCTTCTTTGGTGACAAATACATATAAATACATGCGCGTGCAGTGTAAAGAGGTTGAAATAAGTGTATTTAATCACCAACAACCAAGTATTGTTCCTCTATACTGCCAAAACGAGTGTGAAGAAAAACAGCAGCGAAAGAAAAAAGGCGCGAGAACAGCTATAAAAAGAGCAAAGTTTTGATATTGTGGCTACATCACAGATATATCAATAATAGAAACAGTGTGAAAGCTGGTAACCCCATAAAGCAAAAAGCTTGCTCTGTATCCGATTGTAGAAGCCGTGCGAAACCATGTTATCTGCGGAGAGCTTTCGTATAGGAAAATATCAATGCATTGACTGACAGAAAACCAAAACTACCTTTGCCTTCGAGTCGTCTTAGACAAATTACACATGGGTTTCTGTGAGGTTTTTATTCGTGCCGAGAAGTTTTATGATTGGGCCTATAAAACTTCACTGACGTACATTCGTCACAAAATACCTCAGTTGAAGGAAAATTGCAAAAAAAAAACACAAAAATTTGACGCATAACACGAAGTGAATCTTGGCGAGCGGGCGAAGCTCTTCGTATCGTATCGGTGAGTAACCTTATGTTACCTAATGTTGTCCCATATAATGAAAATTGAGATGCAGACAAAATACACATGTATGCGTTACCACATTCGCTAGAACATAGGTACATGTTTGTCATTATCCGCTGCTGCAATTAAGTCTGGTGTCATAATGAGTGATGGGCCGCTGCACTGTTCATCCAGAAGACAATTCATGAAGTAGAATACTCACTGTCTTGAGCGTCTTGCATGAATGCAGTCAACGTACTAATACATCAACCACAGAAGTACTAATATTTCTTTTATTAGATAGGATGAAGCTTTATTAGATGACCGTTAAAAGGTAAAAAAAATCCACTATCATTCAAACTCACGAAAGTGCATCGATATAAGCCGTCTTGTTTCTTAAACTATACAAAAAAACGCTGAATCTTTCATTACTATTCTGCATAATGTTTCTACTGAAACGCACCTTAACACAAAACTAACGATGACATTTCATACAACAAACCTAAAGGATAAAGCAAACGATGGAAATTCGTGTATAATTGATTTTGGTAGTATAAAGTTCCCACATGCTTTATTGCAACCTTTCTTGGTTTGCTTGATTTTTATACGCAGTTAATGAAGGATTGTGGTAGATATCGCAGCCTCGTTGCAGATGTCTTCATGCGCTTATTCAGACCATGTATGCACACTGTTTGATACGGTGTCCTAGTATTCGTAGGAATCGGGTGCAAAAGAAAAAAACAAAGAAACAGTTTCAGCTTAACTTAATGCATCTTATCTATGACACATTTTGAAGGGGAAATGTACAAGTGATGTTGATATACAAAAAAGAACACACTTTTTTACAAGCGATCAGCTCATATTTGTCACAGAGGACCTGTCTCAAGTAAGCGTGCAAATATTAATTTTAAAAAGCTATATTCTTCAACCTGTCAAGCAAAAATGAATCACATTTAAAAAAATAGCACCTAAACTATCACGCTCTCGTGATATCAGTGTCAATTACATAGATTTTCAGATATTGGTAAGTAATTTCAATTTAGAGGTTCCTGTTGACATAAAGTACTTGGCGAGTAGCAGTTTCAAAGACAACTGCGAGAAATTACTATAAGTTAACATGACATTGCATGCAAACTTATGTTTGCATGGCAAACATAAGCAATAAACAATATGCATAAACAATATGCAAATCCATGGGGTAGAAGTTTGTGTGTGCTTTTATTTCTCGCACATTTTATCTCTTCTCTCTTTCTTGGCAAGCAACAGAAACATATATCTTTTGCTTCAGTATTTTATATATTTATATGTGAATAATTAGTGGGATGTATTTGCAGTTGCTTAACGCATGAAAGAAAGGTTACTAATACACAAGTATGTAGAAATAGTCATGCCTTATGTAAATTTTGTACTTTTGTTACAAGGACAGCCTTTTTGTTTTGTATTAGTAATCACCACATAATTTCAACAAAGCTTTGACAAATTATGCGTGAAGAGAGAGAAACGAGAAAAAAAAAAGGAAGGCAGGGAGGTTAACCACGTGCTAGCATCCGGTATGCTACCCAACACTGGGGTTGGGGAACAGGGGGTTGAAAGAGTGAAATAATTCAAAATGCTAAATACGAAGGAATAATAGTGAAATATAAGTGGAAATATAGGAGCGCACAAGGTAGCAGGAAAAGCACTTGACGGGAAAGACGCTCCCTCCTTGTTTAATCTTCCGTGAAGGATTGGAGCCACAACAGTTTTTTTTGTCTTCAAATTCAATACAATTGACCTTCCATGTTCCTGTATCAAAGGCACTGCCACTGTGGTCTAAGGGCTAACGTATTTGGCTGCTGATTCTCAGGTTGCGGGATCGAATCCCGGCTGCGGCGGCTGCTTTTTTGATGGAGGCGAAATTGTTGTAGGCCCACGTGCTCAGATTTGGGTGCATGGTAAAGGACTTTAGGTGGTCGAACTAGTGGCCCTCCACTATGGCGTCTTTCATAATCATGTGGTGGTTTTGGGAAGTTAACCACATATAATAATAGATCAACCATATATCTAAGACGGCTAGAAGAAGATGTGTATATCAAGTAAACCACTTATAGCAGGTAGGAATACCCTTGTAGTCTCACTTGCAGAAGCAGTTGGAGATGAAAAAATGCAGGTGTACATCATCATGAAAGTACACAAAAATATGCCTATCAGGCTCACTGAGAACAACGTCAAAAATTATGCTTTGTTGAAAAAAAAACTGTAGTCTCAGATCTTTACTATGATTGAGTAATTGCGGCACATAAAAGAAAAAGTCATGCAGGGCAGTGTGAAGATGGTTGCGACTAAAATCTTCTGATCAATCTCTATCACCTTAAGGTATTCAACGATAGGCATGCTAATTTTGAAACTTCGGAAGGGAATCAGCGATCGCACACTTGGGCCTGATCGTTTTACCGGTGATTAGTGTGAGAGAAAAGGAAATTCTATACATGCAACATAAACCTCAATGCCTATTTATCTGGTGTCGTCAAATCACAGTTTCAATAAGAAGTTAACCTCCACGTGTTACCACAGCTCTCCTTCTCAAGAAAGGGGGTCAACATTGAAGCAGAATAGACGCGTGTGGTTTAAATTGCTGATATAAGGTTGTGGTGGACACATTTTTTATCTGCTCAAACACACTGTCACGCAGGTCCACAAAAAGTGTTCGTGCTATACTTACGATAACATGCCCCCATGCATTCTTCGCACGATGGGAAGAACGCACCAACAGTTGGGCAGGCCCCTTTTCGCACGCGACTGCAAGTCACGAAAGGTGCATTGTTAAACCACATGCCCTCGAAATCGCCGCAACCTTTTTTCTTTCTCATTCTTGCAGCGCATGACCCAGAACCTGGTTTTTTCGAAGCTGAAATGAAAAGAATTCTTTATGTGCTTGTATGTTGGCAAATGTCATCGAAAGTATTTTATTTCATTATCATTAGGCTGCAACGTATAAATTAGTCGATTCCGTTTGTTTATATCCCACATGTTCACTGCAGTTGTTTGGATAACTAATACTCTTTTTTTCTTTCTGGGAAGTGTTTTAGGTTATGCAGTCATCCTAAAAAGTAGGTTTACAAAAACATTTTTTTTATTTAGGTTAGCCGATAACTTGCATCTTTCCACAGACACAGCGGTGCCCGTGCTCGCAGTGTACTCGGGCACTTCTATTTTACAGGGCTAACTCAGTTTTTCGGCCACACAAATAACACAGTGATACTCACGTGGCTTAGGCCATTTTTTCGGCGGTTTGTACGGTGGCCAATGCGGTTTCGGTGGACGCTTCTGCGGTTTCCATCCACCTGATCCTGGTCCCTTCGTCGGCCAGCCGCCAGGGCCCGTCTCATTTTCTCCTTCTGATCCTGCAATTTCGTTGAAATACATGCAGTATCTGTTTATTTGGCTACATTATGCAAAAGCTTAGTATGTATCACTCGAGCAGGCCAAAATGTACTGGTTCTCCGGGGGATGGCTGTGATTTCTTTTGCAGGTGTTTTCTTTGTTCAGCGGGTGTGTGTTTTTTTGTTAATTGGCCGCCTGCGCACTGTTGGTGGCGATTCACTGACACTGCTAGCCGTTCACTGACAAGGCGTGCAAGGCTAGCTCACCGCAGAGCTCAAATCGGGATAACATTCGTGCTTGTGCGAACCTAGCTTATCCTGGCTTGGCTAGTCTTTTACCCTGTCAGCTCTCCCTCACCTTCTTATACTACCCTATACATGGCTATGCTTACTTGTTTTTCTCACTTATTTGCATGTGTTCATTCATATCTCCTTTTTATTGGTGTTTCTTTCTCTGTCGTTCTTCGTGTTCTTTCTACAGCTTCTGCTTATCTCACTTTATTTTTTCTTCTTTAGCTTTCTATATTATTATCTCCTTATTGCCGTTCATTCTGTCTATTTCCCGTTATTTTCTCTTTTCTCTCACTATATCGCTCCCTCTCTATGCAGTTACTTTCTCGTCCTAGATCTTTTTCCCACCTCTTCTTTTCTTTTTCATCTTTCCTTTCTTTCTATTTCTTTACTTTCTACCATGTCGATATTTTCTTTTCTATCTCTGTACTCTCCCGCTCCTGCTCTATCTGTACAAAGCATCGTGAAATCTGTTATTCACGGCATTACTTTTCATTCGTACCTTCTTCCTGTCATCACACCATACAAATGGGAAGGTGCTATTATCAGCTCCCGACTTGAAGAACAGTGACGGGCAGCCCAGCAAGCCCGCGGCGCTGCAGCGAGGTTTGGTGTTTCAGTTCCGATGTGGGAGCGTGCCGCAACCTGCCAATGCGCCTTCCGAACGACCCAATAAGATTCATCCATCTTTTATACTACAAAAAGCTCTGTTATGCTTCCCTAGCTTTCCCGAATAGCCGAGTGGCTAATACGCACACCTACGAATTGTGGATACCTGGGTTCAATAGTCACCAATAACACATTTCTCTAATAATTTGTGTTTTTCTGAATATTTATTACCCTTTCTTTCCTTCTTTCTTTCCTTCTTTCTTTCTTTCTTTCTTTCTTTTTTCTTTGTTTCTGTATTCATTCTCTCATTGACCATAAGTGTTACTGCTCCCGCATGAGAAATAGGTGCAAGCATTCTGGGAGTAAACAAGAGGATGAAGAAGACGGTGGCGGTTGTGAACAGGATGAATAGAATGTAGGCCAGTTAGCTATGTTGCCATGCGGGGGACGCCACGGGGTGAAGGCCATCTTGAGCCGCTGGTGTTTTCTCACCATTCGTCACTAATCTTCGATCCAGTCCTGTGAGAGGGGCTTGGTCGCACTTATCGCTCCTGGTTCTTTTTCTGCTGTAGAATTTTTCGTTGCTGATTTTTCAGGAGCCTTCAATGCCAGTCTCCAGTGCCGACCAGGGATCGCCCTGGTCGGCCAGTCGCTCTGCTGAATCGGTGCTACTAGAGTGTTTCCTCCGGAACGGCGTAAGCAGTTTGCCTATCTCGCTTGTGCCCGCTGATGGTAGAGTCATTCGGTTGAGTGAAACGGAGGTGTCCCAAGGAGAGCTTCACTACTTGACCGAGAATTTTCTGGACATCTTGGAGGTGAGGCGCTTCGGAAAGACTGGCATACTATGCAAGTCTTCGAATATTCAATGCTTAGCTTACTTACTGGCCTCTACGAGATTCACATTCATTACTTGTTCGCGATTGTTACGCCGGTTTTGCAATAAGCATTCAGGGACGCGTTGGATTACGTCGCTTATGATATGAAACTTTGCGTGTGCCCTATTCTGAAGTTTGGTTGCGTGATTTCTTTTTCGGAAGTGCTGAGTACAAATAGGACCTCTAGTATGGCTAGAAAGGCAAACTCTGCAGCTGCGTCTCGGGCTACCTAAGTGCGTTGGGAATACCATGCTATATATTGAAGCTCGGATCATTCTACTTGATGCGAGATTTCGACAGCATACCGTACAACTTTTTTTAAAGCTCTTCGATGCGGCCCTTCTACTTGCTCAAAGGGTTTTCTTCAAATCTCCAGAATATTTCTTTAAATGCACTTGGCGTCGTTATCAAAAAACTCCAGGTCACTCGTGTCGAATCTCTGTAGTTGAATCTTCACGTTTCTCATCAGTCTTTAACACACCGAACCCTATGCTCGTTCCCAGTTCACTTAGTTTTCGATTACATTTTTTTTCAAAAACAAAAAAAGCCAAGTTACTTACAAACCATGTTCTGGAGGGCCTCCTTCAATACCATCTCAGTCATTTTTCTACTCACGTGACCATTTCAATTGATGCAACGCAAAATCTTCAGAAGGACGACGTCGGCCTTTTTTCTCATCAGCTTAATTGGTCTTTTGCGCTCTTACTGCCTGACTCCACGCCAATTTTTCCCGCAGAATTTCTGGCAATTACGTTGGCTCTTCGAAAACTAAGTTCTCAGCAATCAAAAGCTATTATTATTTTGGATGCCTTGTATGTTCGTATGCTTTCAACAGCGGCCAAGCAGTCTCCTCTTGTCAGGATATTATGGCCTCTAGTACCACGTATCCTGTCAGAAGTTCGGTTTCTTTGGGTTCCCGAACATGCTGGAATTGTACTAAACAAAACTGCTGATTCGCTCGCATCGGCATCTTTAAATTTCCCCTTGGTACTAGTAGCTCCACAGTCTTCTTTCATTACTGCAGAATGATTCAAACGCCTGTTAGTCTAAAAAAACTATGAAACATAGCTCCTACAATCTCAAGAGTTTCACCGCCTGCAGCTCACATGAAACATTGTAAAATGCATTTCCCATCAATGTAAGGTGACCCTCATAAGTTTACGCTGTAGAGTTTTTCGGTTAAATTATTATATTTGCAAATTATAATTTTCATCAACTAAAATATGTGCACTTTGCAATGCACCGGAAACAATGCATCGATTCCTGCTCACATGCCGCCATTTCGCCTCACTCCACCGAATATTTATTGAAAGACCAGTTGGTATGCTGGGATGGGTAGTTAATACAACCACCCTTTTATCGTTTGCAGCCAGTCAGTTAGGTGCGGGCCGCAGTACTATTTTGTCAGCGCTACATAAATTCATTTAGGCAACCGGAAAGGTACGCTGCTGTTTTTACCGTCAGATCAATCCGATTCTCTGTCCTTCTTTTTTTGAAATTAAAAAAAAACTCCTGGCTTATCGCATCATTTTACCCTTTCACTTTCTTTTTTTAAGGTACGTTATTATTCATCTTATTCTTATCTGATCTCTCTCTCTCTTTTTACAGGCATTGTATAAAAATTTACGTTATAAGGAACAGAGCAGCCAATCCCTATTGTGGGTATGAGCCTAGATCTCCTAGGCGACAAAACAGAACAAACTATGGTGACAATTTTTCTTAGCTATGTTAACTACTGGCCATGTTTAAAAGCTTCGCTGTTAAAATACAGTGACGGTAAAAGATCGTGGCTAAATATGTTTTGTGTTTTTCGAAGATTCGAAAATTCTTTAGTACTTTGGACCTTTCTTTGTATTATGCCACCGATAAATTAGGGATGTCTGTCAAGCTCCATAACAAAATTGCTACCAGAAAAACTCCCAAAGATAGCGTTAAGAAGAATAAAATTGAGAACGAAACTCAATAAAGCATTCAGTGATAGGAAAGGAATACACAATTTTTAACACCTTGGCGATGTTTATAATGGCCGTCAATCTGTATAGTGCCAACATATATTAGCAGAGTCATGAAACAAAATGCGTTGTCTTCGCCCTCTTGTTAATGTTTATCGCTTGCTGAACACGTGCGCTAATTCATATCAGCACACACTTTCTTCGTCCTGTTCTTCATTTTCTATACTTCGCCCACAGAACGCTCGCGCCAATTTATACGGCGTGGCATACACCAATCCAGAGCACGACACAGAGATCAACAAAGAACGAGCGAAAAACAAAGGAATATACAGAATAGAAGGGAAAGAAAAATTATTGGCAAAAAAATTGCTTGGTGTGGCGAGATGCGAACATGTGTACACGTGATGAAGAGGGGACTCTAAGCCAATCGCTATTCGGGTAATAGAGTATGGCTTGGTATGGTACACCATAGCAACCGGATGGGAAAGGGAAGATATTGGGATATGAAGCGGAGAGTATGAAGCCTAGAATAAAAGAAAAACAGAGAAAAAGCTAATAAATAAAAATAAAAAAAGACGAACAGAAAAGAGAGAAGCAAGAAAAAAAGGAAGAGGAACTAGCATAAAGAGAGAACTGAAAGAAGGAAAAAAGATAGAAAGAGTGAGAGCAGGAAACGGATAGGTGGATGAAGAGAGAATTCTAAGTAGAAAGACTCACAGAAAATCAGAGAGAATAGAGAAAAAGCGTTAGAGAGAGAAAAAAATAGGAACAGCAAAAAAGGCTGCCCCCGCTACACACTTCCTTTAGGTATGACACCATTTTTGCACATCGTTTGCGATAGATTTGCTTGGACGTGATTAGTGTGGTGCCAGGACAACACAATGTGGAACTTGTTCTTAAAGCGCGACAATAAGTCTGTAAGACATGTATCTGACTTCATAATAGTGGCATCATCAGCCAGTAGTTTGCATTTTCGGGGACTAAAGATAAATGCTTAAGTACGTGAAATGGATTCAAAATAGATGTGGGCCTACTAACAAACCATGGGGGACATCGGAACGAGTGGGCATAGTTTTATCGTTTTCACATAAAATAGAAGTTGTGTCAGTTAAGTCAGTCAGTTAGCCAGTAAGAAGAACTTTTAGGATCTTTTGCAATAAAAGTAAAGCTGGGGTGGTAATTCTAATTGATCACCGTGGTTAACCTAATGTTCGGTAATTTATTGTTTTGAAAACGGCATGTCGAGGTGGCGAACAGAAAAGTTGCATACTTGCATTGATAGAGGTGTTCAACCGATCGCTAAGCTCAAGAAGGGGAAGCTCAGCCAAGTTGCCAGAACGAAGCCATAATAGAGAAGTGAGTGGGCGTTGAAGTCTCTCGTACATTGGTAAATGCTGTCGTGATGACAAAATACATTTTATATAGCTGATATTTCAGCCTTGTCTAGCAACCGACAAGAAAACGAGTTTTCATGCAAGATTCTAATTATTATGTTTTTGTTTTTCTTAGCGAATACACCATCCAAATATGTATAAAATAACGAAGGCTATTTTTGCAGATCAACGAACACCAAGCTGCCTACGTCATTTGTATAAACTCTCTTAATTTATGCAAGAAAGCTAATGTCAATCACATGAGTAATCATAACGCCATGCTGAAGCTAATTAGTAGTCGTCTGCACACTTCAGCAGCAGTATGAGAATCGGCTCGGTTATCGCACGAACTTCAGTTGGTAAGTTTTACTCAGTTTTGTACCGAATCATGAATGCACATGAGCAAACGTCAGATCATTTAAGTACAGAAGTTATAAGCAAAACTACCATGAATTTTGTATCTTTCACGTGATTAAGGAAATAGACTCTTCGGTTTTCATTCATGCCACTCGCTGGTACCCAAACTAACCTTTTTTGGGTGGTCTTTTATTCCATGGTCGACCACCTTTGGAAGGTCCGGGACGTTCTGGGCGCTTGGGTGGTGGAATTGGACGCTGCGGAATCATCGGCCCACTTCCGGCGTCTGTACACCAGTGCGTAGAGAATGACCATTAATCTGGCAGGCTCTTGAGTTGGCATGGTTTTCGTTCCTCGGTGACATCAAAAGACATTCATTCATTTACTGCACATAGTTACTATACCACCGCAAACAGGGATCATCAACCTACTGATTCTTGTGAGTATGTCTGACTATGCCTACTGAACAAAAACTAGGGCTGAAGATGCCAATCTGTTTCACAGTTTTGGTTACAGCAGTAAGACCAGTTGTTTTCGGCTAAACCAGGAACAATTATTTGCTGTAACAGAGGTTTATTGATGGCAATTGAATTGCAGAAAATTTTTAGCAGCCTTCGTCTACTCGGTGAATTAAATGCTTATTTAATAAAACAAATATGATAAATATAAATGTAAATATCATTAAAAATTATAGCTGCTGTCTCTCCAAAATATAAAAAAATTAAACATGTGTTTTTGAAAAACGTTTGTACAGAAGTACTGCGAATATATGCTAAGCACTAAAGTTATTTACATACAAATATAAGCATTAATGTCTATTATGTCGACGTGTGAAGTACTCCTCGTGATGGTAAGAAAAAGGTTAGCTGCCCTTCTTTCGCACAAGATATTTTAAGGGCGAAGCTCCTTAAGGCGTGGGTTACTCGTCCCCTATACATGTTGTTGTAGTGGATAGCCACCTCTAGCTTAGTTCTTCGAGTGTTCACTAGATGGTAGTACTTGTAGTTGGTAAAACGATGCAAGATGTTATAAAACTAGATGGCGGTACTTGTAGCTGATGATGATATATGTGAGACGTTAATAGGAATGACACCGGAATGAATTATCACCTTTCAGATAAGATTTATTGCCTTCAGTACGCACCGGATTGGTTTACATCAACGGGAAGGAAGTAGAGATGAAAAGGCCCAAGGCGAAGATGATATTTACTGCCGAATAGTTGCTGATATACGAGGATAGTTTATTGTATTATGACTGTCCAAGCCTTGCAAATCGAACTCGTGTCACTGGCGCTTGCATTATCTGAACTGACGCTCAGATTCACCACAGTAGTTCAAAGTTCACTCGTGGAGCATTTATGATTGCGGTTATGCCATAACCAAAACTACAAGCGCACCCTTGCTCGACTGCGAAGAAGGCTTAAGAATCTTCCCCGAGCAAAAAGAAAAAAAATCTTGAAGGCAGAACTGCCAAAGTGCTGCTATTCCCATTTTGTAAAAGCACTCTGAGGGTCTTAATATTTGAACTTGAAATCATCAATTATTTGACCTTGAAATCATCGATACCCTATGCCACCTTACATAAATCCCTTTTACTTATACTAATATCTTTCTATGCGGTTGCATAGCCAATACCACCGCCAATTTTCCATTTTCGCATTTTCGCAGTGTCGTATGAAGCTGCTAAAGGTCATGTTTAGACTACCACCGTAGACGAAAGACAAGTGACACGCTCACACAAAAAATCTCTCAACTGCAAGTCGCGCACCACACACACACGAAACAAAAAGGTCAATACTTCTACATAACTTTTCTTTTCGGGGCGGAATTTAGCAACCGGGTATTTGCGGTCCAAAGGCTAATGTTTTAGACGCTAAGTTGTTTGCGCGTGCTTTCCTAATGGGAAATCAACTATAGCATCCCAATGCCTTTTACCGACGGTGCACACACAAAAAAAGCAAACTTGAAACAGCGCAATTGCTACTGCCGCTTCAATACTATATTTCAAGTTGTCGAGAAAACGGCCCCTACTGGACAACGTGTAAGGCTAGTATGAGGACTTCAACATATTAAGGAAATTTGAAGGGGGGGGGGAAGCGATTTGTTAGCCTAGTTTCCGGGATCATTAGATGGCCTTTTTTTCTGGGCTACTGTAGATCTAGCAAACGCTGGAAAGAACATGGAATACTCACATTTACTTCTGCAATCTAATTAAGGGACAGGGAGATTTGCAACATAGAGTTTGACAATTTTCTAGTAGAAAGCCAGCCTTACTGTAGGCGGTTGACTGCGGCATGACTGACTAAAGTGAGGGTATTCTGACCATGGTTGCTCCATTGCGCACCATCGATGTCACTAGTCGAAATGTGTGCTATGCAGGAAGAAAAATGTAGTGGCTCACCGCAAAGCACTGGTGGTCCTATAAGCAAGCACGAAGTCATTGCTTGTCGTCCTGGTCAGAGAAGGTAATACCCTCCGCGACCACTACAAAAATAAGTCCAATTGAAGGCACAGTCCGTGGGCACTAATGCCCCAAGCCGGAGATGGCTCACGTGTACAGATGAAAACGTTACTCGAAATGTTGTCAGGAAGTACTGTCAGGTTAAACTTTGATCATAGTGGCTAATATAAACACCGCCAACGCCATGGAAAGGTATGTACAAGGAGACTTACTTTTGCAAGCCTGCGTACAGGCGTCGTCGCTGTCAAAGTTATTACTTCCCCGTGGACATTCTCCGTACATGAAAGTCACACATTTTCTTTCTTCCGTATTGTAATACCACCTACTGACATCAGTATCACAATTATCATCGTCGTCTTGAGGCATCAAGTAGCAATCTGATCTCCCTCCTTTGCCTAGAATAAAGATATATATTTTGTGTATTTCTTCGCAAAGTTGAAGTGTAACATTCTTCACTTATAGAGCACAGCCTTTCCATCAAGCATATACTATTCAAAACCAGCATAAAATACGCAAGGAAGCATTCGTTGCATAATGCTTACTGACACATGTGTTACAACAGCCTTCTTATAATACTTTGTCAATTCTTCTACCTGCACTTATAATTTGAATAGTACTATTTGTTAAGGTTTTACGTGTAGAAACTACGATATGAATATCAGAGACGTCATATCGGTTTTCTCTGAAAATTTTGGCACCTTGCAGTTCTTTAATGTACACCTTGATTCGGAGCACGACCTTCTATTATTTCCCCTCCATCAAATTTAGGCCGTCATGGTGCAGACTCGACGCGATAGCCTTTGAAGGAGCAGCAGTCAGGCACTCTTTCCAATTCAAGACCACGGCGGACGAAAATTTAGGCGAAAAACCTAAGTAAAGGTATTTTGTCAGCATATGATGTATCCATCTGAACAATTTCATGTGCGATCCACCAAATACATAGCGCCACTAACGCTCCCCTCTTCTGACGATACAGAGGCTATCCCCATTGCCTTAAAATATTTTACAGCCAAAGTTGTTGTGAAACTAGAACATGGGTCACGCGCAGCGCCATAGTTGTCCGCCGCCGCCGGAGTCCGTAAGCAGTATCGAAAGAAAAAAAAACGCACTAAACAAAAGCTCCCGATGACACCATCGGATTCGAAACCGGATCTGCTGCGTAACAGACTAGTATTCTACTACTGAGCTACGCCAGTGCTTAGAACTCGTTTATAAACAGGCCTTATGCAGGCTTGACGTTGGGCAAAGAATCTCGTTAATACGAGTAATACAGCGTTTAAGAACAAAAGACCAGCCAGGTGTCACGCAATGCAATTGCATAACGAATAGGTCATACAATTACCCAACCTATTACAAAGGCTTGTTTTTGTTCAGCTATTAACTGTTGCGCATACCCATTTCAGGCATAATTCTTCATCGTCGTCAGCCACAGCATAAAAAAATGCACAAATTTTTAACAAGTGTGTAGCGGACCCCACGCTTTTCCAAAAAAATGGACGAAAAATATCACAGTGAGTTCTAGCTTATTACAAAAAATTATGATTGTTTATGGCATAGTGGGTACCCAGCATTGTACTCTGAAAGGCTCTGAAATATTGCTCTGGTGGCTTTCGCTGTGACTGTACTGCACGTTCAGCGCAGGCCTGGCTTTTTTTGTTGGAGAACTTACAAAAACCAATGCACCTAAGTAGCTTCTGAAAAAAAGTCTCATAAAAAGCAGAGAAAAACGCCAAATAAGTCCTAAGACGTTAACACGTTTGTAAACGTTCAGTATTACAGCAACTGACGTTTCTACAACTGTACTTGTCTTCTTCACCACTGCAATTTGCAGACTTGAAGAAGTTAGCTTCAAATCAGCTTGTGAAAATGTCGTCTCCCACGACGCCTCGCGTTGACCAACGTTTTATCTTACGCGATTCGTATCTACTATGACTTCTACTATGACTTCTCAATTAAAAAAAACTAAGTCGTAGGCAAATGAAAAAAATGGTCCAATACTCACAACTTATAACGTGAAAGCATATTCTGACATGTTTGCTGATATTTTCTAAATGTTGCCGAGTATTTTCCATGAATGAATGACTGATTGGCAACCTTTGAAATTGTTGTAGGCCCGTGTGCCCAGATTTGGGTGCACGTTAAAGAACCCCAGGTGGTCTAAATTTCCGGAGCCCTCCACTACGGCGTCTCTCATAATCATATAGTGGTTTTGGGACGTTAAACCCCACATATCAATCAATCAACCTTTGAAATTGTATTTAACTCATACTCTTTCTTCTTCTCTGATATGCAATAATTTCCACAAAATGAAAACAAATCTGATACATTTTCACACCAACTTGTTTGAGAGCTGTTAGTACACAGCGCTAGTTCAAGTTTATTCCACAGTTTTAAACAACTCCATTTGTGAGGGTATGAAAGCGATAACATCACTATGATAACATTTGAAAAAATATGAAATCGCACTTAACAACCAATTATTTATCGAATATTTTTTTTTTTAGCACTTACCATCAACTGGCACAAAGAAAACGACATGGTAGTAGGCAAGGAAAGGTAATAAGGTGATTCTCATAGCTATCCAATGATGTATAGGATTCTTTCTTCAGATGAGTGGTATATCATTGCTCGCTTTGTTCTTTGAACGACCACAATTTGTCGTACTAGCGCCGAACGTCTTTAGCTAGGCTTATAAACCTCGGGAGAATATTGCTCGGGCAAATGTTGTCGTGCTTCCGGATATACAGATGACATTGTTCAACAGAATGATGTATGTGGTGCTCATATATATGAGCGAATGAAGGTAGTTTTCAACGTTCACAATGCCTACTTGAAATCTATTGACATGTTCAAGAAAGGTACTGGTACAAAGGAAGAAATGCTGCGACAGTCCAGTGTTTGAGATAGCAATGAAAAAGAATGGTGAGGAACAGTGAAAGCTTAACATTATGAGGACTAATGTGGTTGCTTCTAGGCTGCTTCTGTGTCTTGCTAGGTAATGAGGGTTGTTTCCTGGTTGCTTCTATGTCACTGCTGTGCTTTAGTTAGCTTACACGATGCTACAGCAAAGTTCAAAGAACATTTATGACAATACATTCAAGTACTGCGACGTTGTAGCCACGTGTTATGACGTTCAGCAAACATTACGAAGTTGGGTAAATATGATAGTATAGCCAATAATGTAACTTTGTATGTAAGTGCAGTAGACCGCCGGATTGTTTCACTGAGAGCGACCCCAAGTACGAATGAGAGAGAGCAATTAATAACTACAAGTCCTCTTTATTGAGTGAGCTTTGTCAGCGTACTCATCTTAGTCATCCAAAAAAATTTTTCTTCAATATCGGCTTCTGAGAAGACCCCGGCCTCGTTTCTCCCATAAAACACTTCGGCTGTGCTTTCAACCTCAGTCACTGACTGTTTCCGCCGTGGCCCCTGTTCCGAGGCATGGACCTGAGCACCCTCACAAAGCGGCTGAAACTTGGACAAATTAATCGATAGGTCGGCAGCTTAACACAAAAAACGACTGTTACTCGCCACGCAGTATAAGTCCCTGCTATCGTAAAAAAGACCAGGATGGGCGTTCCGCGTCAGCTTTACAGGCATCTTGATCATTATTTTATGGGATGATTGAGGCATACAGGGGTTGGCTTGCGTAAAAGGGTTGTAGTAATATACAAGCCAGTTCGAACTTTTAGTAAACCATATCTATGCAAGTTCAGCGGGAATATAAAGCATGTCGTATTCTACTGACTGAATATGAAGCCATTCAAGCAGAATTTTCGATTGGTATTGACGGTAAAGACACCAAGTGCGAGTGGTGAGTGGCGATATTCATCCAAATTGCGTCGCCCTTAAGCGTATATGATACTGGTAGTTTCTCGCAGCGGCCGTCACCTTTCCCATTCCCGCGTGTTGGGCAGACTTTTGCCTTCCTTTTCGTGCGCAATTGGCGAGTTGTAGGACTTGCCCAATTTTGTTGGTACGTACGCAAGTACTGGGCTAACTGCTGACTACTTATTTAGCGCACCAGCGGTAATCTGTTTGTAAATCGTGATACGGCGAAGGTATTGCTGAAGCTTAAGCAGATTCGCTCTTTAAGCGCTTATAAGCACAGCTGCAAATCGTGTTGAACTGTGGCTTTTGTGCTATACCTGCACTAGCTCTCAAAATTTCACTGAGGCAAACTAAAGTGTGGAATGGCTGCTAATTATCGATAAGCTAAGGTTCATAAAATTGTGTTAGTGCTGAAGATTGCATTAGCCAACAAGATGCTTGTGGAAATGCGTCACTGTTTTTTTTTATTTTGCTGCGAAGGCGCATCATTCAGTTTTAAAGAATTTCACCAATAGTAACAAGCTCGAGCTCATAAAAACTTCAACTTCTAAAATGCGATTCCTGAAAATTGTAGGAGGCTCCAAATTTAAATTTTCTTTCTATAAATTAACTTTTGCTTGGCTGTAAAAACAACAGCTAAATTGTGGAAGTAGCACATTAGGCAGATGGGTTGTGTTTATTTCTTTAACCACTCTGTTGTCTCCCCACCAGGCACTTTCGCTTACTCAGACGTAATAAAATCGGAATTCATTATATGCGTTGGAATTGTGACCACTCGTGCGATTCTCAGTATGACGCGTGATGTGGTCTATGGGTGCCTTAATTGTCACATTACACCAGCAAGCCTCTTTTAAAATTCTTAGTGAAGAGGACTGTGTTCTGTGGAAGGAGTTCAACAGGCTCGTCTCATATTTGTAGATGTAGCTCTCCTGCAATGCAGTTTGCCCAATCAATTCTGGCATTGTTGGTTCAGCTAAATGCGTGCAAATTTGTTCTTTGCTTTCTATGTTACAGCTGCACAGTGGTATAATCATTTTCATACTTACCAGCTGACCTGAAAGTCACTGTATTGTATCCTGGATATTCTGTTCAGAGTTACACTGAGGCGAAATCTTAGAGACCCATGTATTTTGAACAAGTCACACGTTGAAGAATATTATGTAGTAAAACTACCAGAGTCATCTGCTAAAGCGTCCCCCAAACTATATGTTGGTGTTCAAATGTAAACCTCCGCAAGCACCAATTACTATGTACCCTAACCAAACTACATATTTGACAAAAATTTCTGATAAAAATGTGCTTAAAGTACGATCGACATACACAAAAACACTACATTTGCTCGAACTAACATAAATCGACCTTAAAAAGTAGTAGTCCTCCTAATTTTTTTACAACAATCAGAACAGCACCTGTAAACGGGTCATTACAGATAATGAGTTCTCGAGTGACCTTATCGACCTTACAGTGACATTTATTAGTTGATAATGTGCTGTAACGAATGCAGTTCACTGAACATGAGAACTGCAGGACGTGTAGAGTAGTGATTCGCTTATCCTTTAGTGTATTCAGAAGCAGACAAGTGGTGGATTTTTAAACGAACAGTTTAGTCGGCGTCCATGGCAATTGAAGAAACATTTGTTTGTTATACGGTTGCCCCGCTTCTTGTGCTACCTTCTTCTTATTCACATTAATCATTTTTGCAGCCCCTTACTATACTCTAATATGCGCGGATGTAATATGATTTCCCCTTTCGTTACGCCTGGTATTTTACCTCATGTTCACTAGTCCCTTCAACCCAGTGACTTCTTTTTCGACCTTTGTATCTCCTTCAGCAGCAGGATGGTGGTGTGTATTAAATGTACACATGCATCTTGGAGACACGTCACGCACTGAGTGTTTTTTTTTCAATGGCTCAAAATGCAATGTGTACACTCGTACAGGCTTCCTGGTTTAAAATGTAACGTACCATAGTATTCCACATACCATTGAAATGGTATGCGAAACAGAAAAACCGAAGGTGAATGGGGTGTATTTCTTTTATTGAGTGATACATTACGGAATGACGCTAAAGATATGTGGAAACATTGTACGCGCTGATATATAGTGAACAGTTGCACGTTATATATAACCAGTTGTTTACGACTGTGCAACAATTCTAACAGCATGAACATGTGTATAACCAACACGAGAAGCGGTAAACTCGTATATATCATTTATGACTGCAAATATGGTAGCGTAGCCCTGGATAGTGCTTGCGAACTTCATTGGGTGTGACTGATTTACAATCGTTGATAAGCCGATATGACAGAATTTTCCATGAACCACAACCAAGCCATTCTCGTGAATCATCATTACACCTGCAAAGTGTCTTTTATCGAACCAGTTTCGAGTCCTGGAGTAGCTTTGTGGTAGAATACTTGCTAGGCACACAAAATGTACCGGTTTCATTCTTGCAAGGATGTAGATTTTTGTTTCGATTACTTGGGTGAATGCTGCTGTTGTCAGTTTTTCTTAATGCTCGTGCATTTAAATTACTGGTGTCTGTTCTCGTCATTACAGGGCGGACATTGAAATTAAGTGCGTGAAAAAGACAAAACGCTATACCCATATAGGCAGAACACGCACAAACTCAAGAAGTGCACTTATATGTGTCTGAGGTGTTGTTGTCTTCGCGAAGTTTAGTATGTCTTCAAAATTGATTACCCAACGAGCACAACAACATGCACTACTTATTAGAGCGCAGGCACAAGCTCTGAATCAACTGTGGCACATACCCGATTGCCACGATCCGTGGTTAACGGGTATGTTCTCCTCGTGCCTGCAGGAGGTAGCTTTATGGCTTACGTGATGGGATTTTTACGTTATACTCTAAGAAAAAATGTCTCAGCTCTCAGGTAAATTGGTGCCAAAGAATTTCTGTAATTAAAAAAATACCAGCCTCTGTTTCTGGGAGGCTCTGTCAAAATATGTTCTGTATCGGCAAGCATAGCTGCTTTCTTCCTGAAAGTGTCTGGCTAACCCACAACGTATGCACGGCATCTTTTATCACATTGCGGCGAAAAGCTGTCTTATGTGTAAGTTAACGAATCGCTATGCGCGATCAAAAACCACACAATATTGCATGACGACCCGCCAGCCCCGCCGACAAGTCCAGAAATGTCACAGGCGTTGTTTCTGGCTTCCCGGATGCTAGCTCACCACGTGACAAAATACACCAGCTTGACGTTATTTTCTCCTGTTTTACTGAACGAGCTTAGGAACGGAAACTTAGAGGGCTCATTTACGGTCTTCCCGGCCATTTAATTGAAAAACGCAACACAAAAATGTTGTTATACGTCCACTTTCGCCATTTTTCGAGAAACAGATCACAGTCTGTGATTTTTGCGGTCACTTCCAACGTTAAAACATGGATATTTTTAGAGTGATATATTCATGTCATAACTAGTCAGTGGACACTCATGTTTGTCAAACGTTTTTCTGTCCACACTATTTTTGGTCTACACCGAGTTAAAAAGGCCGTCACAAGAGCACCAGACGTACGCGGATAGATAGATAGATAGATAAATAGATAGATAGATAGATAGATTGATTGATTGATAGACAGATAGATAGATAGATGGATAGATAGATAGATATAGATAGATAGATAGATAGAGAGATAGATAGATAGATAGAAAAATATATATATATATATAGATAGATAGATAGATAGATAGATAGATAGATAGATAGATAGATAGATAGATAGATAGATATGTGTGCTTTTGGGTCCCAAACCAACGATATTTTTAGGACAGATGCCTCAGTGGAGGGCTCCTGAAGTTTCGACATTATGGTGTTTGTTAAAGTTCGCTGACATCGCACAGTAAGCGGACCTCTGTGGTTTCGCCTTCGCCGACTCGCGACTACCG